TTAGTGAAAGCTTTGCAATGAATTTAGTAAACTTTCAGACTTTTGTCATAACTCTCTTAATTCGCTGTTTATGACACGATTTACATTGCCGTTTTAAAGTGCCCTGGTATTCATCCCTCAGCTTCTCAATAATCTTAAAGTACTTATTTAAAGGATTCCGAACGAAGCTTCTGTTTGAAACTTGTTACGTACCCGCGAAGATGAGCGATAACATTTAAGGTGCTGATTAATGGAGAAATCCGTGACGATGCAGAACAACTTTTTAAAGATTTGAAAAAGAAGAAAGTTGATGCTGTGGAAGTGCAAATGTTTATAGACACTTGCGGTTAGCTATGTTTACCTCTACTAAAAAAAGCGTTCAATTTTGAATTATAGAAGAGGAGAATAAGGAGAACGTATGCGAATCTCAGCTTGCTACAAACCTTCATGAAGTGTCCTTTGATATTGAAGTGAGTATTGTGAATATGTAGGTGCCGTATTTCTTTATTTTCATTTAGTAGTTGTAGTTCTTTGTTATCAGGTAACCATTACAGTAGATGCGATACGTTTCTTGATTTACTTTCGTGGGAGTATCTGAATTTTAACATTTTCAAACCATACGATTGGAAATTTCTTTCGGCTTGAACGAGTATCTTGTATGTAGAAATAAGTTAACCGACTGTTTTCTATTGGATTGATTTTCTTTTGCAGATTCGTGCAGCAGTGCCATCCCGTTCCAAAATAAAATCAGTTGTGGATGCGGTTAAGCACCACTTATTAAGAAGCTTGACAGCACGAGCAGGTGTTACTTATTGTGTTAATGTTTTTAGTCTTGTCGGGTAAAGTTCTAAATTCAAGAACTCCAATACGAATCAATGGATATTGTTGAAGAAGGTAGTGCAGCGCCCTGCTCTGTTCATCAAATGCCCAGACCGGCCACTACTGTTTTATCCACTCATCCAGCAATCCTTTTGTCGGACTACCTGTTCGAGGCTGACACGATTGAGGATGCTCGGAAAAATTTCGATGAATTGTTGGGACTGAAAACCAATCTTGGTAAGTTTTTACAAAGAACCCGCCAATTGGAATCCAGGGTTGTATCCGAGGTGGAGCCACTAAATTGGAAATATAACGTTTATTTTCGAAAGATATAAGAATTGTTATACTGTTAATGTGAAAATGGATAACTTTCCTTGCTTGAGGTCTTGAACTTTGCATTTCTTTCGTTATGGTCCCTTCAACGACTGTTTTCAATAATTTCAAGAGCACATCGACGAAGGTTGGGAGCGAAGCCTTGAAATAAACGAAATGGAGGCTGTAAGAGCACCACTTGACGATACACCAGTTGTGAACTTCAAACCAAAAGATGATGATATCGGCTCAATATGTACCCTTTTGATAGCTCTCTCTGTAATAATTGCTGTTGTTGGTGTAGTTGTCTACTTTGCGATTGGTAGGTGATTAGTTAATCAGTTAAGATTATTGAATTCGTAGTACAGTATCTTCGGGTTCAAGATTTGATTAATTCACTGATGATTTACGGCCATATATCACATATACGGATTAATTTGTATCGGTGTTGCGTCAAAACCGCGTTGTTTAATCACGTCTGTTTATCATTACTTTTAAAAAGAGATCTGGGATTTAAGAAATTTTGGTAGGTTACTGTCACTTATACATTGTTTGTGCTTTTTTTAGTGGAGAAAACTCACAACTCCACAAGTCTTCCACTTAAAAACGGTATACTGGTAGCTCTGTTTGATTAGACATACGCGATGTTCTGATTAGTTCACCCTCGCGGACCAAGTGTACTTTTATTAGCTTATACCCAACGACCACCGCGTGGTTGGATTTTGGGATGTGTGAGACTTGTGACCCACGACTGGCTCACACTTTCCACTTTTGGGGGCATGCTGATCTCATGTGCCAGAAACACAAACAGTAAAGTGCAGAGTTTTTTGGACACGTCGATTCAAACAATATCCTTGCAGTATAGCAGCGCCTGCTAATTTACAGTAAGTGTACGTAAACAATAAGCTTTCAGAACTTCTGCAACTGCTTGACATATCAAATATGCATCTTTATTCAGCAAGTGAACCCAGTCAAAGTTAAATATTCATGTGCATCCCTTCTGAATCCAATCTTAAAGCGCATCCGGGGGGCATAACAGACATTGTGCTGTCATACCAATAATACATATAATACCAATAAGTTCAC